ATTATCACTTTTAGTTTTTACATTAGATAAGACACTTTACAGCTGAATTTGGTTGCCACTGATAGTGTGACAAAGTCCTTTTAGAAATAAAAAAGTGCTGAAGATGGTTACTCTATATGAATGTGATTGGCATGGGACAAAGTCAATCTATTGTAATCATTTTGTGAAGAGATTATATGCCTGATTCCTGGGACTGATAAAAGTTTTTTGTGGAAATCCACAGAAAGTAAAACATTTACCATCTCAATTTCCTTTGCCGTAAATGACCTTTTTTTTTTTGCATATCAAGTATCAATCAATTTCACCTAAGTTTTTACACAATAAATCAGTAAAATGATCAAATCAATATGGTAATCTAATTTGATTAAAAGCACGTTTCATCCATTGGACTAATTCAGGCTGCTGGCATGCCTGGATGCTGCTGTATTTGCATAATAGTCACACAGGGAATCAGTGGGGCCACTTGTGGGACACAAACACCTGATCACAGACACACTCTATAGCTCCTTGCCAATCACACCTATTTATTATTCTCATTCAAAAAACAAATGTCAGAAGAAGAAATCTCTGTTGTTAGATTCATTTTATAGATGATACCTGAATCTCCCTATTCCTCCTAATGCTATCGCTCTGTCTGGAGCAGTGGGACTGTTCCCTAACACTGTTTAGTGTGAGAGACACAAAGATTACCGCCCTTGATTAGTGGATTGGTGTAATCTATTCAGGCCCCTCGCTCTCTCCCTCCTGCTCCCTCGCTCCCAAAACCCCCTTGGGATATGCCTGACTCCCCCAGGACCACTAGCATGGCAGATGGAACCCCCCCCCCCCCCCCCCCTCCCCCCTCCCCCCTCACCAACATCCATCTCCCAGGACTCCCAAATACAGTGTTGACACTCAGAGGGTAGATGGAATGGAGGTTGTAGTGTCTTTAGAGAACTGAATATGAAACTACTGTCACCTTTGTTTAATAGCTCTCTATCTCCACTGTTAGATGTAGACGCCACAAGGCAGATTCCCCATTCTTTATATTGGCCACTTTAGTGTGATTTTAATCCATTGGCTGCCTTCGAGGAATTGTAAAAGGCTCAGTCTGTGCCCCACCTGCTAAAAATCTCATCAAGCCGACTTTGTATATAAGGAAACACTCCTTGCAACCTGTTGACTTAAAGTTTGACTCCTGAAATCAATCCATCTAACTCTTACCTAAATCTAAGATTTTATGGTTTGAGAAATGTCTATTTACAGTACAGTACAGTACATGCATGTCCATTTGATTCTGCATCCATCACACGAAGTCTCTACTGCCGAGGTGCTGCAGCATGTTTAGAGGGGCTGCAGGCCCATTGGCAGCAGGTGGCATAGCGTGGTAATGGCCAATTGTATGCCTCCAATTAGGCGGCAGATCTCCATATATAATATTGGTTTGATTTACATATGGAGACAGACTCAGTCTCATTCCCATCCTCCCTGTCCGGGAACAGGAGGCAGGAGCTCCCTTTTCATTCTACTTCTGGCCTCTTTATTCGCCTTCTTCGATTTCCCTGAGGGGACACTGGGATTGCAATAATAAAGAGAGCATGTAGACGTCAAAAGTCCACAGTCGTACAGTGTGTGTGTGCATGCATGTCTCCCCATGTGTAAGGCACATTCAGTGGGGCTTAGTCTCTCCCCCAGGATAGTCTGTATGTATATTCAGCCTCAGTCAACAGCTAATAGAGAAAGCTGAGGGGGACTCGATTTTATAGGACACACACATTTACTATACAGAGACAGATAAACAGACAAGAAAACACAGACATACAGATGGAAGACACAGGGAGAGGAGTAAACAGGGAGAGGAGTAAACAGTGTGAGGAGTAAACAGTGTGAGGGGTAAAACTTGTCACTTGAAACGGTTCAACTTCAAATATGCTTTGTGACGAAAATTGAGAGGTCCATTGCAAGGAAAATGTATCTTGAATCAAAAAGATTTGAAACAGGCAAATAAGGCAAACGTTTCATTCGAGTTAAAAACAAGCACACAACACTCCCCCCTCCTCCCCCATCCCCCTTCCAAACACACCCCTCCCTTCGCACACATCCACGCTCCCTCCATCCTTTTATGATTACTACAAGGGGCTCAGCTTTCAGCCCGGCCGAGGGAGCATGTGTGCACGGCTTTAATTCCTATTGTATTTGTGCTGTCTCGGTGTGCCAGTGTGTGTCTGTGTTTTAGCGAGCGATGGAGAGGGAGAGAGAGACCCATCTGTCAGAGTAGCGTAGAATCCCCCCGTTCCCCTCTAAATCCATCCCATGGGGCAGGAGCGAGAGACAACTCACTTGTGGCAGGGGTTTTTGTGTTAAAAGAGGAGGGGGGTGGGGGGGGGGGGGGGGGGGGGGGGGGGCAATAACAACAATCATAACAACAAAAGCAGCATTTAAAAACCTACTAAAACCCCCAAACCATCAAAGCTTGTTTCCTTACCCACGTGAGTGGGGCACTTGTTAATATTGGCGGAATCACCTAATTAAACAAATATTCTAGTGATATTTGTCAAACTGGATATTTTAGTCACAGAATTGAAGCAGGCAGGAAGAACACAATTCCCAAGTTCCCCCTTAGTCTGTCATTAGGGACACTGGGGACGACTGTGGGAAGCTAGGCAGCACTACTATTCAGCATTCCCAGAGCTACTATTCCCAGAGCAGGCTGCAGGTGTGATGAGGACTGGCATGGACTCAGGGGAGGTAGAGATTGTGGGGGACAGGAGTTACCTGGGGACTATGGAGCTAAGTGGGAGCAGGGGGCTGCACATAGAAGACACTGGGTCTGGCTGCACAAACTGTTGACACACACGACTACTTCTGGTTTCCACATTGGACAATGCCATGCACACACACTCATTTGCACGAGGCGCGCACACACATAAAAACCAAACCGTCCCTACTCCATCCATACGCCCACATGTGCAATGCGCTGATGAGGAATGAAAAGGCCACGTGGGTATGGATGTCGAGATATCAAGTGAGGCAGGCAAGTGACGTGTGAACACACAAGCAACAGATGCACCCCCTCTTCCGTTTTTGTATCTGACCATCTGTTCCTACAATGATCTAGAGAGTCCTACAGCCTAGCAACTTAGTGTCATAGGATTTTAAAATGCAAATTTTACTCAATGATGCTGCAATATGTTATATTTATATCTATGAGCTAAAGACCAAAAGGAGATGTAACTGAGATGTAGGCCGATGTAGGTTTTTTGATGAGAGAGAGAGAGAGAGAGTGCAAGAAAGCCCAAGAGCACAGTTGCAAGCACCATAGGATCAATGCGGGGGCACGTGCGCCGCAAGCCCCTGCTGTCAATAGCATCTGACCACAATAGAGCCCCTACTGTGTAGAGGATCGCCCTGCACCATGCACTGGGACATCACATATGTTGTGTTTGTTATGCCTTGGCATTTGTTGTGAAATTGGAAAAAGGTAAGGAACGGAACTAAATTATGGTAAATGTTAGTCTGGCTAACACCTCACTCTCTTCCTGACTTCAGAGTCTGGAATTACTCTTTGATGTTGGCACAATGCCTCGATAATGAAGGAGGCTGTGCTTTAACTGGTTGGCTCTCCTCTGTGTCTTTCTCACTCAAATACCCACATGCAGAGCCACCCCCTTCCGTTACAACGGTTGGATTTTCAAATCCAAACAATGTGTGGTCTAAACCCCAGATGAAAAAAAGTTTTGAGAGAACCAATCAAACCTGTCACACAATTTCAGAGCGAATATTTATTTAACAAACAGCCTCCTGTCCAGACCAGTGTGTCAAAACTTTCCCTGCGCTGTGTCACGGTAGCGTCAGCCAGTCTATGGAGGGGTAGGAATAATGGAATAATTACATTTACATCATTTAATGTGTGCAAACAGTTTTAAGTGTTTAAAGTGTTTTTAAAAACAAGTTATATTAAACCTAAAATACCCTTTAAACTATCGGTTGAAACAATTAACTTTGAAACACCATCCATTTTACTCCATCTCAAAGCATCCACAATTAAACTTGGAAATTATTTGTATTTCGCAAACGAATAAATTATTTTTAGTCAGATATGATTTAGTCTTGAGTTGTATATCAAATCTACTTTCACTTTACACATTTTATTTTAATATAATGATGATACAATTCCAACCCAACTATTATTTAAAAATCGATACTGTATATTCCCAGAGCATTCCGGCGCCCCAACCGGTTTTAATCAGATAAACGTATTTGCTGCTTGACTCATTCAACTGTTCTTGGGCGCAGAGACTGGGGAGTAGGGTATATGAGGCTAATAATCAGAAGAAGCAAATTAATGGACGGGTGAACAACGCATACACCTAATCTTACCACACCAAGCTGTCAAAATCACTTACACCTAACGCGATGAAGGAGCGTCCCTTCTTCAGAATATGCATAACTAAAAGTTTCAAAATTGCGCGCTTTGGTAATCATGGGTATGATTCCAACCAATGATCATCCGAGCATTAACGAAAATTAATAATCTAAGTGTTGTGCAGAATGAACATCAAAATTGTTAAGGAAACGTAAACATTTTGTATACAAATTGGGTTACGGAACAACCGTAGCATATAGGCCTCTCACATTTGGAAAGGCAGCTTCAAAATGGAATTGCTTAATACATCTCATGGTTGCCTATTTCAATTAAAATAATGTATGACATAGGTTGTTATGGACAATTGTGGACACAATATTGTATGAAATAATTATGGAATTGTGGACATTTGCGCAAACTCTCTCTCTCTCTCTCTCTCTCTCTCTCTCTCTCTCTCTCTCTCTCTCTCTCTCTCTCTCTCTCTCAGACGCACGCACACACACACACACAAAGATTGGTGATGCATGTGCGGTTGTTTGGACGAGACACTTTGGCCACGAGCCCGCCACACGCCTTTGGATAAGATTAATGTTATGGGTGGGACACTCGTGGGAGTGGCCAGTCCACCTCCTAAAGGCTAAACTCAGACATATTCATGCCAGTCCGAGATGAAAGTCCCACGCGCACTGATTGTATAACTGAGGGAACGAAAAGGAACTTGGAAAGGACTGTGACACTGCGCAACAGAGAGAAACGGCATCAGTTGAGGATTGTCTATAAAGTCATTTTGCTTGGTACTGGGACTTTGGAAGTTAGCCGGACGTCTGACAAGTTTGGAAGAGCGAGTTGTGTACATAAACAGGTGTGTTTTGATTTTATGTTAATAAAATAATTGCATTTCATGTGATTCTATTTCAGATCATTTAGTATTCGTCATAGAGGATCAACCCATAGGCATATGCATATTTCTGCAATGCGTGCCAACAGAAACAAACAACTGTAAACTGCCTTAATATTCGATAAAAAAAAATAAAAATATATATTTTCTATAACAGGAAAGGCAATTGATGACGATGGCATTCTTCATAATAGGGCTTATGCCAATGCCACCAAACAACTATAATGCATTATGGTATTGTATCAACAAGAAAGCGTGATACCACTATCTTTATGTATTAACCTGATATAGACTGCATATATAGATTATATGGTTTGTATTGTACAATATTCAATACTATTGTCAGTGTCAAATACAGTTATATTGTTTGTTAATCATACAGTCTAGACAGAGTTGAGTCTGTGCGTAATACACTGTTGCTATTCATGATTTATAGGCCTATAGTAAACTGTGCTACTTTTTCGCACGACTTCACAATCACTAACTAGGACGACTTAGTTGTAGAACAATTTTGTGTGTCCTTAGAAATAGATTTATTTGGTTGTTGGTGTGTTTAGGAAAGTTCACCCGAGTCCCCATTGAACGTTTTTTATCCTTCGGACTCAGATATCAATCTATTGTGGCATTTTCGATACAATTCCACTCAAAATTGGATTTAAAACGGTACTGATTCCACTCAGCAAATCAAATTTAACTGTTGATGCAGGAGATATTTGGTCCGGTTGTTACCGTGTTTGTTGACTTGGCTCTGTAGACTACCCTCAATTTAATCTGAGGGTTTTATAACCAGATTAAATCCCGCCATGTCCCAGATTGACAGCATCTCCAAAACCACCATGGCATAAACAGCAGGGAACCACCGAGTTTATCCCCAAAGTTTCTCACATTAGATCGTCCTACAAAGGAAGGAAATTATTATGCATAGATAGTGCTATTTTCAATTTGAATAAGTTGTTTTTGCTGTCAGAGTTGAGAGATGTTCTGTATCTGGTAAAATGTTCATCCATTCTGTTGGAATGGAAAATGAGCTGTCCCTGCCAGTGTGCGCTGTCCACATGACAGTGCTGAAATTATACTCTCTTGTCTATGTATAGGCAAACAGTTTACTGGGAATTAAGTTAAAGAGATAGGTCGACCAATTCCAATTGCAAACAATGAAGAAAAATAAAACAGCTGATTCATGAGCTTGACCAAATGTGTTTTGTTTTCCTCAGATCACAATGATGACCAAACGATTTGGTAAGCCTGGAGGAGGAGACATGCCTGAGCTGGTCAGTTCCCTGGCCTGGCTGGAGGAGGACCTGAGCTCCCAGGATGGAGAGAGAGGTCCAGAGATGGGCGGGCGCTACGGCCTGGGCCCAGGAGGCTGTGGGAGCATAGAGCTGGGCAGCGAAGACATGGAGGATCAGGAGGAGGAAGACAATTATAATGATGATGACGAGGAGACCGGAATGGATGGAGAGAACAAGGCGCCCAAACGGAGGGGGCCCAAGAAGAAGAAGATGGCCAGAGGCAGACAGGAGAGATTCAAGGCGAGACGCACCAAGGCCAATGCCCGCGAGCGCTCCCGCATGCATGGGCTGAACGACGCGTTAGATGTGTTACGCAAGGTCATGCCCTGCGCCGCCAAGACCCAGAAACTGTCCAAGATTGAGACCCTGCGGCTGGCCCGCAACTACATCTGGGCCCTGTCTGAGGTGCTGGAGAGTGGTCAGTCCCCAGAAAGCCACGGCTTCACAGAGATGCTGTGTAAAGGCCTGTCCCAGCCCACTAGCAACCTGGTGGCTGGGTGTCTCCAGCTGGGGCCTTCTTCCCCCATGATGATCAACAAGCTGGATGACAAGCCCTTTGGAGGAGCTCCAGGAGTTGTTAGTGGTGTAGCACGGCAGCCTGGTGGCCATCACCCCCTGAGTGGTCACTACCCCTCTCCGGGCCTGCCTAGCCCCCCCTACGGGTCCCTGGAGGCCTCCCACCTCCTCCATATGAAGAGCTTCGAGGGAGGGCCCTACGAGAAGCACCCTTCCCCTAATGAGTGTAGTAGCAACGGCACTCCCCCTTACGACGGGCCCCTCACGCCCCCCCTCAGCATCAGTGGCAACTTTGCCCTGAAGCAGGAACCCTCCCCCCACGAGGCTGAGAGGAACTACCCCTCCCACCCTGCCCATTACCTCTCGTCCCTACCCCACTACCCCCCCTCCTCCCTGGCCGGGCTGCCAGGGCCTCAGGGCCACCTCTTCCAGGCCTCGCGCTACGAATTGCCCCTAGACATCCAGGCCTTCGACTCCTTCCCTCCACCACACATGGTCGCCTCACAGATGGGTACTATCTACAGTGAGTGAAGGGGAAAGTGAAGTTGGTTGGCCAGGCAGGGGAGAGATCCATACACAGCCCTGCCTCTGGTCCTCCAACCCTTCTGCACATGCATAGGCCCGTGGCTCTATGAATGACTGTGTAGATAGACAATGATATGACGTTTACACTGTCTGGTATCCTACTCTGGGAGAGCATGGAATGCTCTGAGAGAGAGACTCAACTAAACTCAACCTACCTGATCATAATGAACTATTGAAGAGATAAAGATGCACCCTTAATTGTATTATTAATTTATTCTCATTGTTGTTTATTATTTGTGTTGACATTATTTGTATTGTCATAATTTTTTTCGGTCTGTATAAGTCTTCCCTCAGTTCCTATTATATGTAGCTATACTATTTTACCAAATCAGATATCCAGGGATAAGCACTGCACACTGTCACAGACATTCATGACCAGGGATATTTCTTACTAAAACACAAGGGTACTTGGGTTGAAAGAAAGTCCTCTCTTGTGTGCTTGAGGATGGAGAGAAAATGTTTCACACAATGTTGTTCTACACTCATTTACTTAAACTTCTGCACTGAGGCCCATACTGTAGCCAGCATCCTTTTAGCCATATGAACAGAAATGCATTTAATTTATATCCGTATTTAATATTTATTTGAATAACTATTGTCTATGTTATTTTTTGCAATTTTCTCAGCACTGTTTTTGTTTTAGTGTCTTCTTGGTATATCGTTTTTCAGTCACTGGCGACTTTACTAATGAAGCATTTCAAGTATGTTTCAGGATTTTGTCTCTTGTGGAGTCCGTCACTACTTTGTCATACTGTTTTTGTAAATATTTAGCTGTTTCGCACTTAATTGAATAAATATTCTTATATTATATACTATTTCTGAAGCAACACATTTTGCCATTGTCTTTTCACTCAAATGAACACATCAGATATAGGCTACCAGATAGAGTATATCAGTTTCAGCTGTACATAGTTTACTCCATAGTGCCATTGGATATGGGTAGTTACATTACCAGTGGACCAGTGGATTTCTGGGATCTTTTATATCAGCTCATGAAACATGGGACCAACACTTTACATGTTGCGTTTATATTTTTGTTCAGTATATAATATAGACAATTGATTTACATTCAGCTGATAAACTAAAAGACAACGCTTGTTTTGATAATGGGGTCCTGTGGTTAATGTTGATGGAGATGTGTGTGATGTCATTCCTGGGCTGTGCTACAGGGTTTCCCTGCATCTGCCAGGTCAGGAAGGGGCACACTGGGCCACTGGGCCATGGGAAAACAGGCCTGGGGAACAAGTGACTGTCATGGAAGCCTTTCTCTCTCTCCCCATGATACATTCTCCTATACACCTCATGCCAAAACATGTTTGGACCAAATCCAAGCTTAGTAAACATCTTAATCAAAACTTATTACAAACTGTATTTATAAAAGTCTAAGATTAAAAAAGCCACTCATTCATCACTCTGGGATCTATTTGGTAATATTGCGGTAAAACATGTATATACTGTATATAACATTAATATAACATTTAAAAAAGTAAACTGAAGCCCAACTAAAATTATTTTTCTGACACCCATTACCAGCACTGCTGCTCAAATTCAGGTAAAGTTCCAACACAATGTATATCACTCGACAAACAACAAAAGTTTAAGTTTGACTCTGGCAACAAGGATTTGTTTCAGCACCGTGTTGACATAGTAGAATATGATGGTTCTTCAAACAGACAAAGGGCAGGGTGACAGCGTGCAAAGATGGAGAGCTGAGAGCAAGAGAAAGAGTGTGTGAGTCTATGTTTACCATTGTGGTCCTTTAGCCAATGGAAATAAAGAGGAAGGAGCCTCTGTGGCTGTTGTCCAAAACAAAAGCTCTCCCTCTCACCTCATCCCCTCCTCATCCACCTCTCCTTAGGCTTGTGTCTTTTCCAGTCCCTCCAGTCCCTGCAGCATGAGAGAAAAGCCAGGGAGGGAGAAAAAGGGAACGATTGTTTTAGTGGGCACCACTGGTCCATTGTAAGTGCAGCCTGTTCTTTCTCTTGACCCCTGACCTGTATTGTTGTGGCGCTTCTCGTTCCGATATGAAAGACAGCTGGGAGAACAACGGGGGGTTGACGGACAGCTGGGGACAAATTGGAGAGAGGGAAAGAGAGTGGGAGAACGAGAGTGAGCGGGGAAGAAAAAGTGAGGGAGAGAAATAGGGATGCAGGGTGTGAGAGAGCAGAGGTGAATGAGGTCCTTGCTCTATCCATTCACAAGTGTTTCCTTTCCTTTTTTTCTCTCCTCATCTCCTTCGCTCTCAGCCTGGGCATAGGAATGGCACATAGCTCCACACAAACACACACACACACGTTGGCCAGGGAGAAGGTGCTGGAAGAGTTGATGTCTGGTGTGTTGCTACTGCTTTGTGCCATTGCTATATTTGCTATGGCGTGTTTGTTAAGTGGTGGGGGAAGGGAATGTGGATTATCCTTCTGAAATAAATGAAATAGTAGAGAAGGAGATATTTATTAAATATCAGATAGCAATTTCCGAAACATTATGTTTTAATGTTTTAAAAAGATTAGGAAAAGTGTTAAAGGTCAGAGGTGATAGAGAGACAGATAGAGCAAGGAAGTGCCAAAAAGGTTTTTACCGTATATAAAATGCCATCTTGGCCAGCGTGTGGGCAGCAGACAGCGACCTGTGGCTAGTCAGTCAGTCAGTCAGTCCCATGGGACAGTGCATATGTCATTGTCATCTGTGACGCAATTCAATCCACAGACATGGACTGATGTGCACAGGGCCAGGGCCACCTACATCTTATAATTATGCAGGCACTGGGAGAAATCTGCCCTATTTATGTCCATGCCCCTCATTGTAAATAAGAATATGTTCTTAACTGACCTGCCTGGTAAAATAAAGATAAAATAGAATAAATGCATAATTGACGATATACAGCATCTGGGGTATTTTGAACATTGGAGTCACATTAACAACAACACAGAATTTTGAATCCATCTTTACTCAACAGAGCAGGCAATATTCCATTTCAGTTGCGATTAAAAAAAGGGGGAAAAGTGAGCAATAGAAAAAGAGTGACTGGATGATGTAGAGAATGGATCAGCAAAGTGCTGTCTGAACCTCTCTATCTGTTGTTTTTGTCTCTCAGAGCACAGCATTACTAATCCACTGGTCAAACAACAGCCTCTCCCACTAAAATGAGAGATCCTGATCCATAGGGGCCAGCTAGATGGAGGGCTGGATGGAGGGATAAAGCATTGTGATTAAGATGGTATTAATGTGTCCATAGGAGCTGCTGGAAGGATTTAATCAGTGTCTGCACTGCAGTTAATCCCCTAGCCTGCCTTTAAGATGGGGCTAACACTGTGATCCTCCCTCTCCTCTCCTCCCTCCCTCCATCCTCCTCCTCTTTCTTTCCTCCTCTTCTCGCCTCCTGGGTCGCAGCGTCACATACAATGTAGGGAGAAAAGAGGGAGAGCAAGAGGGGAAGAGAGAAAGGAGTGCATAGGTGGTAGAGGTGTAGTGGGTCCTGAAACTGAGACGGCTGGGACCGAGGGGAGCAGCTGGGGAGAGAAAGAAAGAGGGATAGACCGAGGGAGGAAGAGATTTGGGGTCAAGAAAGAGGCAAACAATAAAGGAACAGGGGAGACAGGACGAGATTGTCTTGGGGAGGAGAGGGGGAGGGAAAAATACAAATTAAAGAGATGTCGGGTAAGATCAGACACAGAAGTAAACTCCCATCCATAGTGTCAAACATAGTATGTCATGAACTTGGCTTGATACCACTAAGCTCTACATTGCACAACTCCACATGATATTACGTCACCAGACACAACTCTACAACAACCACCAAAACGATTTTCACTGGACAAGAGTAAACATGTGCCACTAGCCGAACCCCCTTGTATAGAAACAACCATGTTCACTGCTTTAAAAACAATACCCTTTCTCCAAGTACACCAGGCACAACTTATAAAAGGGGTTGTTTGGATCCTGGATGCTGATTGGTTGATAGGAGTTATAGCACCTCGGGCCTAAGAACAGCCCTTAGTCGGGAGTTATCACACGATAATCCCCGGGTTCTCATGCCTTGTTGCTTAAATATACAGTACTCCTGCCCATATGGAGACACAGAAGTATTTCAGTGGGACTAGTTAGAAAAATAAGGGAAAACAGTTTAAATGGAACAATGGTATCAAAAGAAACTGTGAGAAAGAGAGTTGGTATGGGGTATGGGGGGTGGGGGGGGGAGAAAGAGAGAAAGAGAGCAGATCGGCGGACTTAATACGTATGTGAGTGGATATAAAAGGTGATATTGTGAGGTTGGGATGAGGGGGTGGGGTCCTACCCCTCCCAGAGCTGTGTGAGAAGTACTAGGGTGTCGGAGTTAAAGAGCTTCTAATGGGCTCTGGTGCTGTCCTGTTTACCCTGGCCCCCCTCCTCACGCCCACTGCTTTGTGGAAGTTGCCCGGCTTTGAGGCTCCCACAATGGGGCGAGTGGAGGGACAGATGGGGGTCTCTTTGGAAGAGCCAGGGCACAGAAAGAAGGCAAGGTAGGAGGGCCCGGAGCAGAGAGAGCATCTGAGAGAGAAGAGAGAGCTGACGTCTAGCATCACGCACTGCTGCCATCAGAGGCATGGCGGGAGAGAAAGAGAGATGGAGAGATGGAGGTGAAGGAGTAAAAGGAGGATAGAGACAAAGGACCTTTTTCTCTCCTTTCAGATATTATGCAAGGAGTCACGTAGCGCAGGCCGAGCCGAGTGTTTCTTTGGTCTGCTTGTGTCAGCTTTGCGAAGGGAGTCCTGTCCAGTCCTGTCCGGACCAGAGATGTCATGGGGGTCATGGAACTGTTCTCCAGGGTCAAGACCACTGTGTCCTTTGACCTTTGTTGTTACATTCCCTGTTGATTCTCTGGCCAATCAATGTTGGTCGCTGATAAATATTCTAAAAGGCTGGGTGAGCTTCCTTGAGGCCCTTTGCTCCACTTTAGTAGGCGCTAA